ATCGGTTCAGGTGCATTTAAATTTAGAGCTGAAAAGCCCGTTTGTGGATGTAATATTTGATATGACTTAGCGAACATAGTATCGAAATGAACAATGTCTATGAATGGTAAAGAGTACACAAAAGAAACACGACAGTATTCATTATTTCATTTAAAAGAGGTCAAACAGTGCTTATGTATTTCGGGATCCCGAAAGATGCGCACGGCGAAACTTGCGCACGGAGACTCTGAGGGCTCTGGCTGAGACCGTGAAGTGCGGATGTAAGTGAGGGTGAGAGCGAAGGTGATGGTGAAGGCAGTGAACTTGAAACGGTTCGTTCTGCTTCGAAACCCTCATTTTCCGTTCCGTGCGCAACTTTCGTCGTGCGCATCATTCGTGGACCCATTGCCGTTAAAAAAGCAGAACTGTTCTCTATATTCCTTATGGTAGCGATTATTCTGGTAATAGATTTTATATATCTCTTATCTTAAGAGACACAACAAGGCATAGAAACCTTTCCTACTCTCTCTTTTGTTTCATTTGAAAGAAATAAAGAAAACTCACCACGACTCGATAAACCTGATATTGGATCAAATATATATAATGATACAGGATATGAACCACCAATGCCATTGGAGGCTGTACCCAGTGCCAACAACCATCTATCTTTTAATGAATGAATTGGTTGCGTACACGTTGTTTTCATCATTATAGATGATACTGGTTGCGATAGATCGCTAATATTAATAAGATTCACTTGAGAGTTACAGTTAGTTGTCATTACAATATAACCTATTTTTTCATTCTTGAATCCAGCTATAGATCCAAACCCCTCATCAATATTGGACTGATGCCATGCAGCAATTTGATTTGACGTAGCACGGTTGTCAACTAGGTCAATATCAATTTTGTACACAGTACATGTTTCATTGTCATGTGAGCAAGCTAATGAAAATAATGATTCACCTTGAATACTAATCATCTTCCAAGTAGTAAAAGCAAGAATCAAGAAAAACATGTTTATATCTAAAATAAAAATATCAGTCTATTCATTGAAGATTGTTCGATTAATACGGATGATCGAAGAGAAGAGAGTTAGAATGATGTTATGTCCAGGTTGAAATCTCTTTTATTTTTAAGAATGACGAATAAGAAATCAATTTGACTTAAAACGTTCTCTGGCTCTAAAAAAGTGATCAAGCTAAATAATGACTTTAACTTCTGAGAACCATCCCAGCTGTGTAATACTGACAAGTATGTTTGAAAATTCGACATTTTATAACGGTTAACTTTTCAACTAATTAATTTTGAAAATTTGCTTTATATACATCAATACAGAATTATTCATATAGTTCTTTTCTGACTTGTTCTTCTTATTCTCATAGATGACAACTCAAAAATCATATATGAAACGCTAAACATGTGTTCTTTTTACTTGATAACAGGTATAATTGTTTTCATGAGACTAATAATAAATACTTAATCGTAATATTTGCGTATCTTATCCGTATGAAAAAAGCATCGAATAAACTTCTACCAATGACTAAAAAAACAGTCCATTTGATTCAATTTTTATGACCGATACTGTATGTTATGCACTATAGAGTCAAAATTAAAATGCTCATAACTTTTGAAAGTAGTGACAAGAACTCAAATCGTTCAAGAATTTTTATTAGAACATTGAACAGTATCTATTGGTAAAAAGTCATTGAAGTCGAAGAGAAGGGTACCTGAAAAGGTTCCCTCGCCAGTCGTTAGAGATGACTGAACTTTCAGTCACAAAGCAAGAATCCGTCAACAGCTGATGAACGAAGAATCCAAGGGTTGAAAACCTACATGCGCGACAACATGATAGCGAAAATCCGTGTTCGACTGAAATTCCAGCACCGAACAGCATGATAGAATGAGAGAGAAATAGGAAATAAATCTGATTGACTGGCAATACGGCCCAAAGCATAGCCGTCTTACATAGATCATCCGATATTTCAGAAATACATAAAAAATTCGAAAAACTGATTACAGATTTGACTTCTTCAACCTTTATTACCTTCAGTCAAATGTTATAAATTACGCCTATACACGTGAACACGTGATTGTACACGTGCAAGCAAACACACACAAAGATAGAAACTCATTGTACTTCATATGACCCCCCCCCCCCCTTCGCCTGTTTCGTCGAGGGAAAGACGATATTGTTTATTATAATTATTTGATATGTAAGTCGAAGTATATGGATACAAATAATTCGAAATAAAATACCTATACAATATTTATTTAATAGTGAATAATTCGATTATAATAATCAACTACAAAATCGTTTCACAGAACCAATTAAATTATATTCAGTAAAAAATAAATAGTTTGTTTTATTCATTTTGTCATATTCTATGAATATTTTAGGATGTTGTATTTGCTTGTTCATATATTTATAACACAATGAATAAGATGCATATTACATTAGTAGGTTAGTCAATAAAAATTTATTTATGATGATGAAGTTTGCTTTTATTTTGAGAGAGGTGAGAGTGTATAGAATGAAATGTGTCTTCATACATTTACTTATTATTCTCGAATGATTAATTTGTCTACATGTTTTAAATATAAACACATATTCATCATGGAAAATTTTGTTTGATCGAACAGAAAATTTTCAATTATCAAACTATGAACATTTTCAACAAAAACAATGTTGTAGAACATCAATTGGCAATAATACCAGAGATATTATTTCTAGTTTCACTATGACAAGTTTCTTAGCGATAAATTTAATCATATTAATAAAATATTAAATAGTTTAAAAGCATCAAAATGTTATTAAAGGATTTATTTTTAAATCTACTCTATATGAATAAGTGCATGTAGTTGTTACAAAAAACAAAAAAAAGTAATATTAATATTATATCTTCGCAATAAAATCATTGAATAAAAAGATAACATCGGATTATTTCACGACGCCAACGATATTTAATTGAATTATGTTAATTTATATGACTTGATATCTAGCAACTGTAACTGACAACAAAAATATTTTTATGATCTGAAAAAAACCTTTGACGGATATCGCTCTAAGAGATTGTGAAGGTAAATATTTTCAACGTATGAAAACTATTTATATCGATATATATATATATATATACAATGAAAGCTTTTACAAACTAACAATTTTATTTCGATAAAAACAAATGACGAAGATATATGTTGTTTCTTATGTAATTCCATTGCTGTTAGTCGTTCAACAAATTAATAGAATTACATGTTCTCTTCAACCATATACTAGTTACAAACATTCAATTGAACTTGAGAGTAATGTCGTTAATCTTTGGTGGACAATTGATGAAATAAAACAAGAAATTACTTTTGAATTACATATTAAAACAATAGGATGGATTGCTTTGGGTATTAGTCCAGGTAAGTCATTTCTTAAAATAAATATCTTTTTTTCATGTTTATTATATATATATAGCTGGTGGAATGAAAGGTGCTGATATTGGTCTTGGATGGATTGATCAATCAGGTCAAGTTCATTTTCAAGTCTATATATAATTCTTATGTCAGTTCTCTCTAACTAATTAGTATCTTATTTATTTGTCTATTCATAGGATCGATATGCGTATAATTTTTCGAGACCAATAATTGATAATACTACAAAAGATTGGTTTGCAATTCAAGGTCGCGAACAAAATGGTTGGACAGCTATTCAGTTCAAACGTTTTCTTGATACTTGTGATAGAATGGATGTTCCAATTAAAGTTTGTTATATATATATTTAATAAAACTGTTATAATATTTGCTATATGTTTAGTCTGGTACTAATATTCTTATATTTGCTTATGGTCTTGAAGATCCTGATATGTCTCAATCAGATGGTTTAATATATTATCATGAAAATCGACGAGGTTCACGCGTTATTCCACTTCAATCATATGGTAATCCATCACCAGAAAAAAAGTTTGCTGATCTTGACTATATAGACTTTCAGTTTAAAGATGTTAGTTATTCTGTTAGAGATCATTTTATCGTTTGGAGTTCATTGTTAAATTTTCTTTCAGTATATTGTACCAGCAACTGATACGACTTATCATTGTCAAGTCTACAAAGCACCAAGCAATTTTTCACAACGAAGACATGCAATTGCAGTATGTATTTCATTTCTAGTTCAGTATATTCAAATTATTTTATAAGAATATTCTTTTTCTTAGTATAAAACAATAATTGATTCAAATAATCGAGATCTTGTTCATCATATAGTGTTGTATGAATGTAATACTATAGCTATGTTCGACGATAACAATTTACCAATTGGTGTATGTGATGAGATTTTTCAAAATATTACTGCATGTAGTGCAAATATTGCTTGTAGTTGGGCTGTTGGTGGTGATGATGTAAGATTTGCAAAATAAACATGTACTTGTGAAAGATTTTCATTTACATAGATAGTGGAATTTCCAGAAATTGCTGGATATCCATTAGGTGGTGATTTTGAGATAAAATATTACATGTTTCAAGTGCATTATAATAATCCAAAACAAATATCTAGTATAGAATATTATCGAATATACAGAGTGGTTCAAACGTTATCGGGCAGTCTTTGATAGCGAATTACTTTTGAGAGAAACAAGATAGAGAGCTGAGGTTTTCAGCGTTTGGAAGAGGAGATGAAGATGCATGAAATCTTATATTATAGGATTTTTGAAGATGTTTTCTAGAGCTTTCCTAATCAATTTTCTAAAAAAATTGTCGAAAAAAGGATTTCTTATAAAATAAAAAATGCGCATAAAAGTGATTTTTTCACAAAAATTGACTCAGAATTTCTAGTAGAATGCCTATAACTTCTGAAGGAGTAACTTTCTAAGTTTGGACTTTGCACAATTTTGTAGGTGCTCCACTAGCGGTTCGAATGCACACCTAATCATAAAAAATTCAGTGTTGTCACGTTACGGAGAACCTTGGTTCTTGAAAAACGTCGGTTTAAGTCCTTGAAAAAACGAAGTCACATTATCTTATATTATACAGTTTTGTGCGTCTTTATCTCCTCTTTCGAATGCTGAAAATCGTAGTTCTCTATCTTGTTCCTATGAAAAGTAATTCACAATCAAAAACTGCCCAGTAACTTTTGAACCATCCTGTAGATTATAAAAAATCTCAATCTTGTTTATTTATATTTAGATCGTCATGATAGTACAGGTTTTCGATTTTATCTTGGAAAAGAACGTCGTCAATATGATCTTGGTTATCTTACACTTGGTACAGATTCAAGTCCCAACGGTATTGCTATTCCACCAGGAGTTGATCGATTTATAATTGACTCATATTGTCCAGCTGAGACTACAAAAGTAAACATCAGTTAATTACTTATGTAGAAGTAAACTCATCTAATATATTATAGAATTATCCTCAATCTGGAATTACAATCCTTGTAGCATTTCCACATACTCATTTGCAAGGTAGAGTTCAAACTGTCTATCGATCTAATAAATTATTTTCATAATCAAGGTCTAAGTCTATGGACAAAGATCATTCGAAATAGAACAGCAGTTGATTATTTATTTAATGCTGATGCATATGATTTCAATTTTCAATATCAAAATATTCTACCAAGACCAACTCAATTGTATCCAGTATAATTTTATTTTCTTCTTTTTTTCCTATTTATCATATTTGTTTTAGGGTGATGAATTAGCTACTCGATGTGTTTATAGTACAAAAAACAAAAATGACATAACTTTGGTACAATAGTCTAATGAAAATTTTTGTCTGTTTCAAAAATAGTGTCCATCACGGTTTTTTGAAGATACAATGCTTCAGAGGACACAAGTCTATAAAAGAACTGAGAATCGATCTTGCTTTGAAGGTGCTACATTTTCTAACTCTTTCAAAGACTCGACTATAAGATTATGACACTTCAATAATTTTTTTAATTATGAAATATACTATTTTCATTGAATGTCCTCCACAAAAAACTACCATTGTTCACAGATTCATCGTAGTTAATTAACTATATCTGCATTAGTGTTCAGATTATTCAAACTTGTAAATGAAGTGATGAGTAGTCTTCAGTAAAAATGATATATCTCTTGTACCGCAATAGCTATTACAGTTGAGTTTCCGTAAATCTCTTTCAAAGATTTAGAAAATGCAGCATTTTCCAAATATAATTGATTCTCGGTTCTTTTATAGATTTGTGTCACACGAAGTATTCTATCGATTGCTGAAAGCTGCAGGTCTCTAACTACTTGTATTCTTGAGTCATTCAAAAACTAGTAGAATACACTATATCTTGAAATAGACAATAGTTTGTTTTGTAAATATAAATATCTAGGGTGGTAAAAGTACAAAAGATGAAATGTGTCGACAGATATTTGCTTATTATCCTCGTATGAACGATTTATATGTTTGTGTGACGATCAATTCGCAAGAATCATGGAAAAAAATAATAAATAGTTCTGAGTATGTATGTCTAGATGTTTTTACTTCTTGATTGAAATAATGTTATTTGTGTATTATTATTTAAAGATCATTATTAAGTATTGAAACACTTGAAAAATGGTTAAAAGAACTGAAATGGACACCGGAATCAGTAGTTCAATGGCAGAACTTTTTTAATGATGCTTCACGTCTCGTTGTATATGGTCGTACAGACAATTATAAATTTATAAATCAAGATAAATTACCAGAATATAAAGATTTGAAACCATTAGAATGTAAAAGAACGATTTCGAATTTGGCTATTCGTCAAAACTTTTCATTTATTCTTTTCACATTTACATCATTTTTTACAACAATAATCTCACGTTATCTTTAAAAGGGAATCAAAATTGTAGAACTAGAACTGATCGTTTTCAATATGACCAATATTTCGTGAAACGAAAAAAAAATGTTTTCGAATATAAGAATGTTTGAAAAGTCACTAGAAGTTCTTTATATCGTTATCAAGAGTGTTATCTGTTTGTTTTTTTTATTTTTGTTTTATTTTGAATTTCTTTGATCTTTTTTTTTTCAAAAAAAAAGATGTTCCATGGAATGTTCTAATTGGATAACAAGAATGAATCTTTATGATTGTTTTCTTAATTTTAATAGACTATTAACATTGAACAGATGTATCAATGTATTATTTCCTACAACAAAAAGTCGGAAAGATCTATTTTGTGATCGACAAGTATGGTCATTTGTAAATAAATAGATGTTTGATAAAAAAAATGCTTCAGTCACTATCAAAAAATTCGAACATTTCATTACTCCACGAATATATCGCTCAAGATTAATATTAATTTCATCCTCATTAATTCAAGATAAGTATTCTCATTCTCATATTTTTCTTCTTCTGATGCCGAACTTAAAATCAGCAATAATATATTCTGATCTCAAATTTAGAAAAAGTAGTAGCTCAGGTTGCTCTGTTAAATGTAGTTTCAGATAAAATAATTTTCATCTCATATACTGAGCAGGTCTCTGATTAATTTATAAACGAGAAAAGTAGTTCGCAAAAACGTCTGAAACATTCATAAGTTGAGTGTGTGGGTGTGAGCAAGGACAATGAGATCAACGACACTCAAATAGAACTCGAAAAATATGACAAATGCATAAAAAAAATTATGGATTTTTATCGCCATCGAAAGCATAATTTCTCGAACTATTACTTGCGGATAGTCGCGAATTCGTATCACAGTATTTCATGGATGCTGATTCTTCACAACTGTAGTAATTCAATTCGTATAGAACATTTTCTTTGATGATGAAGTCGATGACTACAGCGTAAATCTGTAATTCATCGAATTTTTCTATGAAACAACACGAATCTGAATGATTTCATCAATCATTTATACTTATTTTTAATGTGTTTCAAAGATCTTCGAACTGTGTGCCGAGAGGATATGAGTGCGAATATATAAATCTTCTTCTTACTCACATCCCATACGCATTCATGTTTTTTGTGAATCTTACTGAAAAAAAGCAATACTCTACTTTTATGTGTTCTGTTTATTGATTGTGTGACTCATGCAAATAGGTGATGCAAAATTCTCATATAATTTTTCTGAGACAATATTCAAGGGATCATGGAGATTTAGTTTACTCTCAATAACATCAATACCCTAAGTGTCACAATCGAACGACGATTTTTTGCAGTCCTTTGATTACATTTTGATATTTGCCATTTTCAAGAGACTCAAAAACAAAATCAGTCAATACAGCTTTTCAGTATCTTCTGAAGCGTACAGTAGTATATGGTAGGGTCATGACGAGCTGGTTGTAGATATCCGTGCTAATAGTAGAGTTCAGGAGCAGAGCATACGAATGTCTCAATATGAAGAAAAGAGTAATCACCATGATCAACACTCTAGTAAGTGTAATGGGGGTAGGAACGATAACTACAAGTCGCACCATCACGACGATATCAATTATAAGGAGGATCAACATGAGAAGCATAGTTATGTTTGTCCGAACTGCAATCAGTATGATCTCTAGGATCATCATATCAATTCGAACACTTTTGAAACTTTAGAAAAGACATGTCCACCACAATATGTAACACTAAACTACTTCATTCATTGACTATCTTCGTTAAATATAGCGTTGGCTAAAAAAATTCAGAAACTATTCTTCTCAATCTCTGTGAAATTACAATACAAAGACGGACGAGATCTTTCTGGGTAGCGCGAGCAAAAAGAAATAGAAAAATACAAAGAGTAATCACATTTCGGGTAACACTACATATGTCAATCTGAGATGAAATGCTACCTTTGGTTAATAATTTTCACAACCTAACACCGAAATTCTTTTTGTGATCAAATGCTTATAGGTCTTCTCTTAACTGTTCTGTAATACACTTTTTTTTCACTATAATATAAGAAATTGTAAAAGAATTTTTTTTTTATATCCAGAGAAAGATAGACGGAATTCACCATAGTATTTATAAAATAACGTATTTGAATCGAGCACAAGAATATCCTTTCACACAAGTATACATGATTAAATGAGCTATTGAATCTCTCTTTCACTTTCTTTTCCTCTATAAAACTCACATTCTTTATTCAATTTCTTAAAAAATGCGTCGCTACCGAACGAAAAATGAAATGAAATCGATCAGTATTTATACAACTCAAATAATCAACATCGATTTTTTTCCATTTCATCTTTAACCCTTTCGGGACCGGTGACGCTTTAAAGCGTCATTGAAATTTTACATGATCTGACGCAAGTGAATTTGGATTTTTTTCTGGGTCTTTTCGAAGTAAATGTTGCGGTTGCTTTATTTTACACGTTTGTGTTATGACCTGCATCTTTATCTCTCTCACTACCATTCATGTGTTATAAATTTTTCGATTCTGTCATTTGTATATGTGTTGGATTTTTCCCNTAGGACATTGTTCTCTTGGATTGAAGAAGTCTAGGGAGCTTCTTTTGGTATAAGTTAGGGATGAAGAATTTACGCTTGGACTTCTCAAACTTAAATGAACGAAACCAAATCAGAGGCACGACTTGAATGTTATGACAGTAAATCTTCGAGAAAACTATTACGATGCAATGCAACTAAGCCGCTTTAACTTCCGTGCACGAGTTGTAAATTTAAGCTCGGTTCATTATTGCAATTTGAAATGTTGTTTGCAAAAACTTCACGAATTGTTTGACGAATAGAGAATTTAGGATTATTAGAATGTCGACATCGATCACTTATCCGAGACATAGACATGGACCTGATATACTTATGAAGTCCGGCAAAAAGAGAAAAGATATCTTCGACAGGTTTAGTCTGAACAAATGGGTGACGGTATGTGAAAGTGGCTGATTCATCTATGAGACGCTTGATGACTCTATCCACTCCTCAGAATCTCTAGTTCGGCATTATGATTCCAATGCAATAAGACCTTGCCATAAGGTTATAATCGAGTATTGCGATTTAAATAGAACTTGAAGTATCGGGAAAGATTTTGGGTTGAGACAATAAAAGACTATTCGTCATTGCCAGAAATATCACGAAATCCATACAAAACATCGAGCTATGCGGTCATATTGAGAGTATGCTATTGAGTAGATACTTTTGATCAGCTGTTTAAAAGCATGCCGAAAATTATTGTGAATATTTCTGATGTTCGAGTTCATTGTATGGTCTTCTCTGAATAAATCTCGAAAAAGTGAATAAGCTCAATTGAACTATTCACGGGACACAGTTCATTCCTCGATTTTATTTTCGCTTCATGACATTTAGAAACAACTTCGACCGCTTCAACCATTGCAGTAGCTGCTCAGACAATGAATGGTGATTCTGCAGTGACCATGAAATCATGTGTTTGGCGCTGTAATCGTGGAATTCAGATTTATCGTTCAGTGGGTAGCAGCAATCATTCGCGACCAATGTGTCTTTGTCCACCAGCTTACTTTGGTGAATTCTGCCAATACCAAAACCAACGTGTTAGTCTTACCGTACAAATAAAAGTATCGTTCGAATGGCGCACAGTGTTCGCTCTTTTTATTACTTTACGTGACAATCAACTAGATTTCATAGAATCACATGATCAAATTCAATATTTGCCTGTTCGTGATTGCAACAAAAAGTTTAACATCTATCTTCTGTACAAGTCTAGACCTAAAACGATGTCAGCAAATTATAGTGTACGCTTTGATATCTATAATAAACACACGTTAGAGTATCGTGCTAGTTGGTCATTTCCTATTCAGTTTCCATTTTTGCCAGTACATCGTGTGGGTTTTCAACTGCATGTTTCAACGAAGAGTATTGCCACAGAAGAATGTGAACACCTTCAATGTGGTATGCATGGTCATTGTTCGCGCTATGTGAACACCAACATTTCATTCTGCTACTGTGACGAAGGCTGGTCGGGTAAACATTGTGATATTCAACACAAATGTGACTGTGCGTCAGATTCCATTTGTCTACATTCATTTGCATGTCTGTGCCTATTGGAAAATTTTGGACCTCGATGTTATGCAAAACACCAGAAGTGTCCATGCAAGAACGGCGGACTTTGTGCACCAGATGATGGACGTTCGGTTGATCATAGAGGAGTCTTCTGCATATGTACAGAGGGTTTTTCTGGCCCATCCTGTGAAACGTTCAACACGAAAATTGAAGTGTCCTTTGCACGAGAAGTGCCTATACCGCTTTATATACTAGTGCACTTCATCCAAGTGTTCGGACAGCAGGCGCCTCCTAAACAAGAAACTATTTTCAAGCAGGTGCGACTCGATACAGATATTGCAACACTCTATAAAGGATCCCCATTTCACCTTGCTTTCATTGAAACCGAACCGAAAACATACTATCTCAGTTATCTGCGACAGAATTATGTACTATTGAGCCTGATGTCATGGACCATCTCGCTCTCGGACCGTTGTTCGCCGATCGCTGAACTTTTCAATCAAACCTTTGTTGCACTGCATCTTCTTCGTCGAATGAAATACTATCATATTCCATGCCGAGAACGAATCAATCTTGCCTGTTTCTATGATGAAAGGCACATGTGTATTTGTGATCGTGATCGTCGCCAAGCGAACTGTCTCGATTTCTATCACAATTCGACCCACACCTGTGAGGGACGAAACATATGCGAAAATGAAGGTCAATGCTTTCTCGACGATTCGAAGTGTCCAACTTCATTTATGTGTGTCTGTGCGTCATGTTCATATGGATCACGATGCCAGCTTTCAAGAACAAAGTTCGACCTTTCACTTGATGCCATTCTTGGCTATCAAATTCTCCCCAAAAAACCATTCGCACAGCAGCGATTCGCCATCAAAATGAGTGCTGGAATCGTTACTTTTATGATCGTATGTGGTTTTCTGAGT